GCGCTCCTCTTGGTCAGCACCAAGAATCGCGACCTCTGGCTTAGTCCAACACCGGAAGTCCGCGATTCACCGACTTCACGTCACTCTGCGCATGCTCAGAGTCAAGTCTGACAAATCTGATTGGCTGAGAATACGAAATGATTACTCTGCGCATCCTCTGAAAATTGGACCTTTCCAGAGGTCGCAACTCTTGGTGCCGACCAAAAGGAGTGCGGCCTCTGGGGACGCGAATGCACGTGGCATAGAGCCGAATAAAAAGCGCTTTCATACTTTCACAGTATTTCCCAACTGGTCTGCAGAACTTTAAGTCAAATCAAGTGCAGATAAGTAACACTTGTGCTAATTATTACAGGAAGATGTTTCACTGAATCCTGACAATCTGAGAGAGCATGATTTAGATTTGTACCTAACACTTAAACCAAATAGTTAACCTACCTTGCACCAGCCACTGTTAAGCCTAAAGTACAATTTGACATTCTGTAAATGAAAACGAAAAGTACATCATTAATAATTCTGTATTTCTTTCCTGTGTGTTGTTTAATCTTGACATGTAGACGAACAAATTCCATATCTTTCACTTTCTAGCACCAGCTCTTTCCGTGCCAGCTTCAAACACTCTGTGGAGTCAGAGAGCTGCGATGTAGGTACATTGTTGTACCATCTACCAAAACGCGGGTTTAGGTCTCAAAGATTACAACTACAGTTTTCAACTCAATGTCAGCCAATCACAAAGGACACGGGCAATCCAATGTACCAATCAAAACGGCAGTTACATGTAGCTGACGCGAAGCGCGGGAAAACGCGTGCGAGAGAGTCACGATTGGTTGTGGTTTTACTTCTGATTGGATGAAAAAGTGGCACGAGTTTTTAAGCCAATCGCGTAGCGTACTAAGGCAAAACCAATTACTTTCCGACATTCAAGTGAAAACCGCTCTAACAAAGGTGTTACTATGGCAATTTGCGTTCCTCGGGAAGATACAAACATGGCCGATCGCCGACACCTATTCGCGAACCACTTTGTTAACATCACGGAGCTAAACTAATTTGAACTAAAGAACTGGGTGGACAATTTTAAAATACATTCAAATCTTGAGAAAAGAAGTTATTGGGCAGGTGCTAATACCAAAACACGAGCGAACACAGTGAGGTAACCACAAGTATTTGTGGCAAGGCAGAGAGGTTCAAGATAAAAAAAGCACCCACAATGGGCATTTTAATGTTAAAAGTGTACTATACTCAGTTCTGATATACATATTTGAAATCTCATTCCTGAAATTAAATTTATTTTCGTGAACGATCTCATTCTTTTCCGTGCAATTTTTCTTACAATTCTATAAACTGAGAACTACATATTTTTATCAATTGATTTCGTAAAAAAAATGAACTGCACTTTACTTTTCTCTAGACACTTTTGTATGGAAGATAATTAGTTCACAATTAAAAACGGTCGAGCATTAAATTTTAATCATCGTCAATTTTAAAGCATTATCCTCAATTTACAGGGTAAATAATCGAGAACATGTCATTACAAATGATGGCGAAACTACTTCACTCTCTAGATTCAATTATCTCCCGGCGATTTTTCCATGTACGGTTCCAGCTCGTTGCCTATTTCATTAACAACCGAAAAGTTGACAACTCTCAAAGAGCAAACCTTATCCGACAACTCCGTCTCAACAAGTTGTTTGAATTTTCTATCAACAATGGTACCATTGATATCTAAAATCTCCAGCGCCGTCGAAGGAGATCCATTTTCAGATAAAACATTTATGAACGCATATGCGCCGGAATTCCTTATCAAATTCTGGCCTATGCGCAGAACTTTTAATTTCGGGTTATTAGCTACACCCTTCGCTAAAAAACTTGCAGCCTTTGTCGTGAATAGATTCCCGCAGGCTGAAATTTCGATAATGCTTCGGTTATCTGCGATTGCTTCGCCAAGAATTTCAGCTCCCGCGTCGTATAAATAATTCCACGAAATGTTCAAATCACACAGTGTTTGGGCGTTTCGTAAACCCGGCAACATAGCTTGCAAACCTGTAACTTCCAGCTGATTTGAACTAATGGAAAGCTTTTCGAGAACAGAATTGGTCATTAAAACATTTGACAACTGCTCGGCGAATTGGTCACATAAAATGTTGTGGGACAAGTCCAGTTCTTTTAGAACAGTTTTGCCACAAAGGGATTTAAGCAGACTTTCCACGTCTGGGTCTGTTAAGTTGTTTCTCGAGAGATTCAGCTTTTCTAAAGTTTGGTTTTTGGTGAGCATTTCTGCAATGCTGGAAATGGCATTCTGTCCAAGCATATTTTCAGATAAGTCCAGCTCTCTCACAGAGAAGTTCCCCTCCAGGCCTTTAGCGATGGCTTTCCCGCCTTCGTTCCCGAGAAGGTTGTTAGCGAGAAACAAACGCACAATACTCGACGACGAGAACAATTCAGACGAAATTTCAAACGCAGTTATCGGGCCAAGAAACCATCCGTTCAAATCCACTTCTTCATCAAAGCGATGCTGCTTAAAGAACTCAAAAGGGTTCGATTTTCCGTTTCGAACATCCATGGCAGTTGGTAAAACTTTCCTGAGGTTACCCACTTCTTTTACTTCGCTTTCGTTTTCTTCCGACATTCCAACCAATTCTTTTCGAGTGCCTGTCCTTTCTTGGTCTTTTCCCACTCTATTCTCTGCGTCCGCAATTCTGCTTCTTGCGCCAACAACCAACCGAGCCTGACTCGTAATTTTGGGCGAATTGTGCAGTGATGGCACATTTTGTAACCTTACTTCTTCCATGGCATTCATTTGAAGCCGGTTCCACCGCAAAAACAAAGAACGATCGTAACTAGCCGGGGTACTGTCCTTTCTCTTAGGCAAAGACATTTTCACCAAAATATTTTTCTCTTTCTTACAATTAACACCTAATCGACACTTAATCTTACACTGTAAGCATTTGACCCTCTCTCAGTATGCAAACACGGTCACCTCTGCAAAACTGTTGTTTTTAAGACACCAGTTGACACTGTGTTTTCTTCTCTTCTTATTAATAAAGAAATCGTTATTGGTCGTAGTAGTTGGTTCGTGTAAATAATTAAAAAGCAATTACATCAAGTGTATCCAAGGTATTCAATTAATAATTTGCGGGCTATATCCATTGAAACAAACAGAAAATATACCTCAAAGGCATAATAGGAATTAGTCTTGTTTGAGCCAAGTAAAAAAATTATACAATTAAGTACATTTTCCGGACAAAACGTGTGTGGATCAAACCAACTGTGAGTGTCTAAACACCTTTAGGGACTCTAATTTTGTTTTCACGTGAATTTTCGTTGTCAAAAAAATTTTGTTGAACGATTATTATCTCAATTCTAAACAGGAGATCCTACAAGAGTATTTCACGAAAAACTAAAAACGTATTTACGTGCAGTCAGCAATTAAAACCCAAACAAAATAACGCATGTATGTATGTGCACGTGTTTACTGTTAAGAGAAAGGATTGGTCGAATTGCTCTGTGAACAGAGAGGGAGAGTTTTCTTCACTGATCCTATAAAATGTCACAGCAATTACACATGCTACAATACTTTTATTGGCCAGTTTGAGTTTATTTAAGCTTGATAAATCGCACAAAGTCTAAATCACACGCATGAATGGTTAAGTTGTAATGCATGTGGTCTACAATCATTGTGAGCTTACAAATACATTGATCCTCAACTGCTCCTGATGCATCGTTGAGTGTTATAAGCACTTGCAAACCTTTAAAAAACACTGAGAACACAGTGATTGATCCATGCACTTTGTCATGTTGTTAGAAAATCCTGCCCGCTTATGTAACTCAACAATGCAGCGGCGGACTAAGGGGGGAGCCAGAGCGCTACAGCCCCCATTTTTTTTCTTGTATTTATAATGAACCTGAAAAAATTTGACCAACCATCTTTATAGTGAATTTTTCATCCAGTTTGGTGAGGAGGGAGGTGGCCTGCACTCTGCTGCAATTTCTTCCACCCCGTCTGTTTGAATTTTATGGTTCCACCCTACAACGGACTTGGGAACATTTACAAGCACAGAAGAAGCTGCAAAAAATAGCCCTTACCTCTTCGCCAAATTGTTCTGCTATGTAGAGACCCATAGAGCCATATTTATCATAAATTTCCCTTTTTCCAGGATCAGCTAATATACTATGTGCATGATTAACTTCTTTAAACTGCAAGACAAAAGGTTGTGATACTGTCAGAAAGCTACATAAATCTACTAAGTACTTCTAAGCTCTTAGGTTTAACTGATCATCAGGTATTGATTATTCTGGTGTCATTGTTAACATTCTAATTTAGAAATTCATCCAATTTAGACAGATGTAACCATAAAGAACATGGAAAACAGTTACAGAAATAAAATAGTTTGAAAATAACTTAATACAAATTTGCACTTGATTCAAGTTTTATTCCCTTCCTCCACTGTGGGAAAAAGGATGCCCAATAGTTGGTCAGGTTCATAAAGACTTTGGCATTTTAATGCTTTCAAGGATTATTCAAGGGCCTCAGACTTTGATAATTGGCTACTTCTGTACTTCTGTATTCAAAACCCAATGAAAAGTAACCCAATGTTGGTACAGTAGAACCCTGCCTTTTAGCTGCCCTATTAAAGGGACACAGTCAGCTGGCGTACATGTGCATTAGATACCATTTCATAGCTAATTTGAATATCACAAAGACACAATCTATACTGTTTTTAACCAAATATGATTAAAAAAAATATCATAGGATGATCAAAAGCACACTCAAAAACAAGTTTTTTTAGTAAACCATTGAAAATCAAGCAAGACACTGTGAAGATTGACGTGGATTTCTAGATGTACTAAACGCGTATCTTTGATTTCAGATGTGGTGAACTCTTTTCAAAGTGAGATAACTAGTGTCCAGGTCAGCATGGTCCCAAAATTGACTGTGTCCCTTTAAAAATTAACAATGAATTGGCCTGCTCTCTGCCAATCACAATGAAGAAATTTCTCAGTCATATAAAATATCTTACATCTTACAGTATGGATCGCATCCCTGTGATATGCAAATTAGCTATGAAATGGTATCAAATGCGCATGTGTGTCAGCTGACTGTGTCCCTTTAATACTGTCACATCATTATTATACAACATGGACATGTGTAACATCTCACTTGTTACTGCAAACTGATCAAATATGCTTTTTTTTACAATAACTGCAGAAATTCTAGTGCATTCATTGACTAATTTTCATTGTCATTAAGTGGACAGACACATGAATTTATAATTTATGTGACAATGACACTGACAATGAGTGAGAGTGGACATTTTGACAATTTGTTATTGTAAAAAACACAAAAATATTGACATCAGCTTTCCATGCATCTGCTCTGTTATTGACAATGAATTTCATCATAGCATTGTCAAAGTTATCTGCTATCACCTCGTGGATCCACTACTACTTTGACAATGTTATGGCAAAATTCATGATCAATAACAGGACAGATGCATGAAAAACTGACATCAATTTGTTAAATGCACATTGTTTGTTGAAATCGCCTCACTCCCATGGACGCATGTGATACGTAAACCAGTATAGCCATAGCCATAGCACGGTTGAGTGGGAGTTCTTGTAGTCAAGTCAAATATTCAAAGAATCAAGAAAATGTATCGATTCATGTTTTTTATTTAAGAGAAAAATTGATTGAACTATCATTACATGTACATTATGTTAAGAACCATAGACAAACCCATTTACTTTGGCTCACTATAGCATTCAACAAATTTTGTTTAACCTATGAATTCCCCAGAGTGTTCAACAACTTAATTCTCCTTACAGTACAGGTATGTCGTCATGACAACAGGTGATAAGAATTAAGAAAATCATTAACTGGAGTTGTCCCAAAGTGAAAGAGAATAGCATTAGCCTTAAACCTTGTAATCAATAGCACTGACCAGATCCTAATATTTTCACTTTTTCTATACACCTGTATACCTTTTAGTAGACGGTTACATTGAGAATGAATGAGGTGATCAATCAATCAGAAAAAAAAACGCCTTCTACATGTAAAACGTACCAGTCAGAGCTTTTTTTCAGAGATGAAAACAATTTAGCCCTGGACTGATACTTTGCTCTGCCTGGTCATCTGTCACTTTGCATGTATTAAAAACCCAAATTTAGATGGACTTGAGAAAATAAACTCAATCACTGTCACTATTTTTTGTATGTTTTGAAGCCTAAAAAGAGCAGCTTTCACTTATCTAAAACAAAGAATATGAAAAGAAACTTTTTAATTCTGCACATGCACGGGCCTATGACTTGGAGGCATTTCAAGCACACTTTCAGGAGGTATATTTGTTTGCAATGCATTATGGGGTGATCAATGCCAGCATTTCCAAAACAGCAGAAAAAAACTGGTGAGGGATTTGCACTGAAAAATCAATCTTCACTGAATCCAAGCCTGGATGTACATGTACATACAATTGCATAGTCTCTTCAAATGTATATTTGAAAAAGTGCAATATCCCACATTAAATTTTGTTGATACAGCCTTTGCATGTACATATTAGATAATTTGTTTTTTAATGTTAGCATGAATGTAAGATGTAAACTGTTGTGAAATAAGGCTCAAAACCCGATATTTAAAACGTATAAATTACTAATTACTCATGGTGCATGGGAAAAATCCTCAGCCAATGCATTCTGTGCCTATTATTGCTATGCATTCCCACTAAGTTGCAAAAACAGTTACATTAAAAATAAATTTAGAGTATAAAATCAATCTCCTTTTCTCCCAAGAGAGGTTTCGTAGTTGAAAAATATACTAAGGACTCAATGGTACGGCTCTGTACTCTTCAGAAGTGTATTCAAAAGTTTCATTTCCCACATTTTTTGATGCAGGCAAAACCTTCTGTGCGTGTCATACTGTTTTGGTATCTAAAGCAAAGCTCTGTTGTAGATATGTTGTAGAAATAAAGACACTTAAAAAATTTTAAAAGAGAAATAATTATTGGAGCACATGTACTGTCAGTGTGTCATATCTACTGGTGACACACTCATTTTTTCAGTCTCTGATGTTAAGTTTCTTTTCAAAGCAACTGAAGTTCTAGCTAGTAACCACTTGGCGAAAACATCTCAGCCCCCAGCCCTTGGTGGCAGCCCCGCAGAAAGAATATGAGGACTACAGGTAACCTGTTAAAGTGGGCTCCAGGGGTTCAAATGTTGTGAGAAACTTGGCATATTCCTTTTGGAAGATAATTTCCATTATCAACTCAAACAGGTGTTTGATCCAGAAGACACCCTAAAACCATTGTTGCTAGTAACATGTAGCTTGTGTGGTAAGATTTGACTTACTTTTTCTGTAGCTTCAGGATTATTAGGATTTTTATCTGGATGGTGCTTCAGTGCCATCTGAAATAAACAACCAACAAAAACAGCATTATTTTATGATATTTATACTTCACCAGCAAAAGGCTCATTGACAAGTCTAGTATCCACTGTCCAATGGCCAGTTTACATTGATCAAATTAAAAAATTGACGTTTACTTT